GAGACTTCCACGTGTTGTTTATATCCTGTGATGGGAGAAGAAAAATAGTTTCCTGTGAGTTGCCTTGAGTCAAATTCCGTTTTAAGCTGGAACAGCTCAAGGGTTCACATGAGCATCACCCCTGTCTATTGGTTCATAGGGCTCAGAGCATTTCAAAGCGCTGGCATCGCTGGAGCTGGGAAAAGGACCAGGACACCTTCAGCTTTCCCATTTTACCCTGCTCCTCTTGCATGTGGCAGAATGACAAATCCGGACCTTAATCAGAAAGTGTATTTAATTAATCAGAACTGCAGCTGCACACACACACGTTAAATTTTTTCCAGACAAAATTTTGGCAATTGTTGAGCATCTTGTGGAAAGCAGCCAGTCTCACAGGCGTTGTACAGAGGTATCCTGGACCAGAAACGAATTTAACCAGCAACAAAGACCTACCGACCCTTTGTAGCCTATAGAGAAGGCAGCCCGTGTGGTTACGGACCCACTGCTTGACTTTGGTTAAGTTAGCCTGAATGTCCTTTCTCCTCCCTCTGAGGTCACCTCACGCCAGCAGCAAAGTACCTCCCACCACCAAGCACCAGGAGCTCCTGCCCAGTATCTCTGTGTCCATCTCCCTCTCATCCACATCATCATCTCATTGTCTCATGCTCCCGCAAAACAGGCCTGATTTATCTGCTACTGCAGCAGAAACCACGGCCTGACAGAGGAACTCACACACTTGGAAGCACGGGAAGGGTGAAGCCTGGCCAGCACAGATCCCCAGCTGGCAGGGGCAGCTCTTTCCAAACACAGTCCCATGTGCTCAAAGTACAATTTCCAACAGCTGGATGACAGGACATGGTCTCCTCCCGGGGCTGGCCCCAGCAGCCTGTTTTGGAACCCCTCAGAAAGCCTGCCCTGTACCACATGCCTCTTGGGGAAGGGAGAGGCCGGCACTGTGCAGCGCTTCTGAGATGTAACGGATTATCAGCCTTTGCTTTTCTTGGGTCCCGGGCAAAGCACAGGCTGCTCAGTCCTTAATCTTCCATGTTTTGTGCATCCACAGGGACTGAAAATACCGCTTACTTACCCTTTAGCCTTGCTAGCTCGAAGACATTAAGAACTTCATGAGCCAGATCTTTGGCTGTCATAAATCACTGTTGGTCCATGGACTTTTGTGAAATTCCCACTTGCATCACCCTGAGGCTTGGCTTTGCCTTGGGCCTGGCAGGGAGGAGGCACTCTGACATGGATATGCTGGGTCAGAGCACCGTGCCCGCAGGAAACCATCCAAAGGCAGCAGGAAACAGGATGAAATGAAAGATGTCTGGCCTTTGACTGTGACTTTCCCAGCTCTTCTTGCAGAGGGGAGAGGCTCAAGGTCCCTTTTGGAGCAGCTGATGTGTCTGGTTCACCTACACGGCCTGCAAGAACCACATAATCCTTGTCGGGTCATTATCTTGGTTAAAAAACAATTCTGTCATGTTTGTGCAGATGCAACTTTCAATCACTGGTAGACAAAGATGTGCAGATATGGTACAGTTTAGGATGGAATTCTAACTGCATGTAATCTTAATTTTGTGTATTTATTTCACATACTTTGTTTTGTAAAGCCCTTTTCAGTCCTCCCATTCGAATGTCCTGACAGAGCCACTTCATCTGACTATTTTATTTGCAAAAATAAAATATTGTAACACCAGTGCATACTCAACATTAAATTTTTCCAGGGCTTAATCTATGACACATGCCCACACATGGGGAATGCTGACAGTAATCTGCAATCCTCAAGTCATTCTCCCTATAAGAAATAGCACGTGGCTATTGTTGTTCAGAAGTCCACAGCAGGGAAAACAGAAATAATTTGTTTGATCTCAGAGTGTCGGGACTGAGTTGTGACCCAATTTAACAAGAAAATACTTGAGAATTCTGCATGGAGTCCTGTCGTTCCAATGAGTAATTCAGCCTGGGAAACCTGTCCGTTAGCAGTGACAGGGAGAAGATGGATGTTAAAGATATCAACTTTGCCAGCTTACCGCTGGCGTGACTGATGTGGGATTCTTCTTGTATTTTATCATGTGTGAACAAGAAAGATGTTGACTGAGAGATGGCGGCTCAATGAGGATAACAAATATCATTCCCCATTCCATACTGTGTATTTTTCTCACCCACCAACGATGCGCAGGCTGCCTGGATCTCCTGAGCAGTGTCCCCAGTGAACAGGGATCCCGTAATGCAGCAAGCCGTGCTTTTCCCATAGCCACATTGCTTCAGTTCTTGCCAGAAACGCAAACGGTGTGTTTCTCTAGAATCACAGATGTGCCTTGTTTCTGCTCCCGGTGCGGAGGACTACCTGCTGCAAGGCATGGCGTTGCGGTTTGCTGGCTGGGGAGCTGGCAAACTGGCATTCTTACTAAATAAATCCCAAGAGGCTCCTTGCCCTCCTCCTCGCCTGCGCGTCCCACGATGCCCATGCCCAGAGAGTTCCTCCTAGAGAGGTTCAGACGCGCCCGTACCTCTGTGTAATGCCAGCAGGACACACAGCAGCTCTCGTCAAATTCAAAACAGACAGCGGAGCAGCGACTGTTGAAAGAGAAATGTAAATAAGATGGTCAGCCTAAGAAATGAGATCGTTACTGTGAGGAAGAGAAAAAAAAAAAAAAGAGCATCTTGGGAACAAATGGTAGGGTTCCAGGTAATATCCTCTATACAGCCCCATAAAACATTGATTTAATAAAAGCCACAAGGCCATGACAGCTTACTGCCAGTCACAAACTCATACTCACTCATGAATAATTTATTTGGCAGGTGATGGGGGAAATCACTAATTTCTGGGGGATTTTGGTAAATTGCTCACCCTCTGACCACTTCCATCGCCAGCCAGAACTGTCAGATTCTGAAGGAAACATGTTTTTTTGTCATAAGGCACGGGACACCTCTGAACTGTGTTTTATCTTTCCACAGTTGGACAGCCTTATTGACTCATTGCTCCTGTGATTGATGTTATGATGGGAGACAGGCTTCTGAGAGCTCTAGCACATTACTTGGCTACTAAAATGTAACTTAACACGTTACGAGAGAGAATCCTGAGTCTGGTCCTAATTTGAAGTCTCCTGAGGTCGCTGGTGCTTGAGAACCCGGCATCACAGTGGCTTCCATGCGTCGAAGCGGGGAATGCAGCCCACTGTAAATTAAAGCTGCTTGAAGTAGATGCTATTAAGACAAAGCACTAGGCACACAAGTGGTGAAAAAAAGAGTAACCAATTTTATTTCAAGTCCTCTTAGTTGCTTGTCACACAGCGTTCGTGGAGAAAACTCCAGAAAGCAAACAAAGAAATAGAGCCTAGACACTTATTTTTAACTTAGGAGATAATTTTGGTTTATGCAGCTTGTCACATGATCAGCATTTTTCTTCACAGAAAATTCACGCATCCTTTTAGCCTTCCGACAATATTTTAAGATTATTAAGTATCTTTGAACTTCCTGTGAAAATCTGAAACCACAGATGGAAAAATCTGAAAGATAATATTCTTGCAGCATAAAGTGACGCTTTCTTCAGTGCCTCATGCTCGCTGTGAAGGATCCAGCTTGTGCTTCAAACCAAATGTCTGCTCTATATTTAGTTTTGTACAGTCTATTGTAAATCACTACATTTTGGTGGTGACCATGTGCCCGGAGCAACAGTTTGGATCCGTTGCAGCCGGTTTCTAACACAGAAAATGGCTAACGCGGGGCGGCAGGGGGGATGGCAGCAGCTTTGAGCTGGCTGCGGATGGAGAACAAGGTTCGACACTCAGCATCCCGGCAAAGAACCCCAAGATTTACCAAAAAACCACCAACAAGGGCCCCTGGGGTTCCCGCCGGAATCCCTCGGGGGCGGCCGGCGCAGGCTGTGTCAGCCCCGGGGAGGCTCCGGGGAAGGCGGGGGGGAGCCGCTCGCCCTCCCCACGCCGGAGCTGCTCAGGGAGCCGCGCGGCTTGTTTTAATTATGCGCTTTCATTGTTACCGTGGGATAACACAACACCCCCCCCATCACCACTTCTTGCGGGCTTTCAAGCCTCGCACAAGCCAAGCCAAGCCGAGCCGAGCCCGGCCCGGGGACACTGC